GCACTGCTGCGCGACTGTGATGTGAATGATATGGGGAGCTGAGCCCGAGCCAGGGCCTGTGAATGTGATGATGTGGATTGATCATATTTTTTTTAGTGATTATATTTTTGTAATGTTGGGAGTATTGAGGCAACAGCACTAGGGGCTATTCTATTCACTTTCGCACCTTGGCACCAGGCCAGACACGCTTCAAAGTTCAAGCTTCATTCGATCACATTCACAGTGCAATTTGCATGTTGACATGAATGATGGTAGACCGAATTTTCCGTCTCTTTCGTTCGTTAGCCTCTTATTGGGGTAGGGTCGGCTCTCTCTTTAGAGACGGAAGCCGTTTATACACATGTCCTTGCTAACGCCACGGCCAGTTCTGGTCGTAGCGTTTTGCCCCCAAAATCCCCCAAAATGTCATTTTACCTCGAGCATGTTATATTGTAAATTAGGCCTAGGCTATAATAAATCAGTTCCACTTACCAACTTGACTGAAATAATCAGTTTAATAGTCCCTTTTAAGGAAATTATGGGTCAAAATCGGAATCCATGTTGAAAAAGATTTTCAAAATGGATTTCGATTTTGACCCATAATTTCCTAAAAAGGGACTATTAAACTGATTATTTCAGTCAAGTTGGTAAGTGGAACTGATTTATTATAGCCTAGGCCTAATTTACAATATAACATGCTCGAGGTAAAATGACATTTTGGGGGATTTTGGGGGCAAAACGCTACGACCAGAACTGGCCGTGGCGTTAGCAAGGACATGTGTATAAACGGCTTCCGTCTCTAAAGAGAGAGCCGACCCTACCCCAATAAGAGGCTAACGAACGAAAGAGACGGAAAATTCGGTCTAGAATGATGGTTGAGACTTGAGGATGTGATGAAATGAAGTATGCCCGGGGCAGTGGCATAGACCCTAGCAGTGCGAAAGAAGACGGCGCTAATGTACTTTCGTATCCATTTTTTACCCGTAACTCAGGCGTGGAGATACCCTACTAAATCATACCCAACGAAGTAAATATTCATTAAATGTCCAAATAAAGACCATGAGTTAAAAGTCGTTATGCATGTGTATTACCTGTTTTGTGTCAATTTTCTTGTTATTTTTGGAGGATTTTTTGAAAAACGTTGATATTAGTAAACAATTTCTCACAGGTTTCACAGCAAACCGCTGCACAATACAGATGGTGGGTAGGTTGCGGATAGCGGGCGGCTGGCGCACGCCTGCGTGAAGTTATCTCATTACGGTAGTTCACCATGAGTAAATCATTCCTGCACACGATGAACCTTGCAAACTAAGCACTTTAAAATCTGTTGTTAAGAATTCAACCAAATTGAGTGAGAGAATTCTGCTTACCTTCCCCATGATCCTGATAATAATGATCTAACGTACGATTTACATTACAAAAAGCTAACGTCCAACTAGTGTTCGCGATGTTGATTCTGTTATGCAAATACATACATGTACATGTATGCGCGCGCAGGGAGTGTCGCTCATTTCTGCTACATGTACCTGTAGCCTACATGTACATGTAATTCCCTGTGCACGCCTGTGCAAGTAGTACATGGTGTAAGTACACAAAAATAATAGCAATTTTCATAAATTACATGTAGCATGGGATTGGCGATGTGAAAAACGGTAAGCCATTTTGTGTGAACACAATTGAACACAGTAATGTATTCCCATTTAAAAACATGTGGAATATGGAGAATTGCTTGTAAAATATAGGCCGTGGTTTCCGCAGGCAGGGCAAATATTTCAGATGATCAAAGCAAGCAGGAAAATTGATGTCTCCAAAAATAGATAGACGGTGGAATCCTCATATGTGGGAAAGGGGATGCGTATATTATCTATTGGTCATCTACATGTACATACTGTACATTAGTCATTTACATGTACATGTACACTGTATATATTTCTCTTGAGGATCAGGACCAGTCCAGGATCAGAACAGAATCAGTATGGGCTTCGTTATTTATGAAATATGACATTGGCATGCACCTGCCTACATGTTTGTGGAGAGCCTTGTAAACAAAAATACCTACATAATGTAGATTTATGTGTACTTCACATGTTGCTGCACACAACAAATCTTTTCGATTGGTTTTGTTTTTCTGTTGTACATGATGTGGTAAAACTGACTGAGGTTTATTCAGTCAAAGAGAGACTACAACTGCACAGGTCAACCGTCAATTACCTCTGTATACTCAAGAAAGTATGGTACATGTATGTTTACGGAAACTTTATATACATGTACATGTACATGTACATGTGTTTAATACATTTAAGAGAAATAGTTGTAAGATATAATGATTACAATTTTGAAAATCAAAATGTACATAAATTCAGGGAAAAAAATTACTATAAAAATTTTGGGAGCTACTTTTCAAACTTGCTTGCATGAAAATAACACTCTTTAATTTGTTTTGCATTGAACTCTATGCAAAATTTGGGGCTCTTTTATGACTTTTGGGGGCTCTTTTGGGTATTTCGGGGGCTAATTCGCCCGAGCCCCCGTGTATTTTTTCCCTGATGTACATACATGTACATGTACATTTACATGTAAGTGTATCCCTCTCTGCAAGGAAAAGGTCAGATTTGTAGTTAATTTGATTGCATGCATGTTTTAAGCTGTACAGATTATCAGATCTGTATTATTATTATCTGGAATGTCAGATTGAAAAAATAGAATCTGTGCAAACTACAAAGATTTGTTTGTAAACTTTGTATTCATGTCCTTCCAGGGTTCTCCACAAATGAAAATGTAATCATGTTAAAGGTACTATGTCCCTTTTGCAGCCAACCTCAAATTCTGTAGAACTTTGCAGGAATTATGAATATGTCATGTATGTCCTATCTGTGAAATTTAAACGTTAGCAGTGTCTTCATATTCAAATTATGCAAGGAAACCTGTTTACAACTGTACTTGCTAGACTTCACTGTCAGACACTATTGAGTGACTGACTGGCCTTTTTACTTCTTTGGTAATAACATTCATGAAAAGAGTTGTAAAGGGTACATGAGCATTTGTCTACATCAAATCAATAACCCACTCCTTGTGATGGCCAAGATTAAACTGATTGAATCTTTGCGCAGCATAAAACGTATGACCATTCGGTACAATTGTCTGAAAATCAAGACTATTACTTTTTGGCTCTATAGCCCTAAAGTCGATTTTACAACTACATGTATAGTCATTATTTTCTCACTTGAAGACATTTTCAAGCCTTACCTTTTTTAGGGAAGTTCTAAATTAGTATTATCTTTCAAATGCAGTTGGAATTTAATTAATTTTTTCATTTTTTTGGCCTGCAAATCAATGGGACATAATACCTTTAATGTGTGCATTTATTACAAACATCATAAACACAAAGTGCCTTGCAGCTGGAAATTAAGGTACCTACCGGTACTCTCTGGTATAATATAGCCCAAATTGTGAAAGTTTTAATTTTTGCTCGAGATTTTGTACTAACACGTATGGTACAGTATAGCTGGCCTGATTGGGTGCAGTAGATGGTGGTGTCTTGCCTCGAGTTGCCTGTAAATGATTTGTGAGTGTAAAGCTTTTGACGGTTTGTTTGCATGATGTTAAGGTTGTATTACATGTATGTGTTGATTGTCATTGTGTGTTATCTGCCCATTTCTTTGTCTATGTATGTCATATGGTACATATATCTGAAGTTGATTCAGTGGCCAAGCGCCAGCTACGGTGTGTGAACGAGAAAGTCGTTGGAAATCAAGATGTCAACCACCACCACGTAACAGGGCCTCAAATTGACACTGTATGACTACCAGTATTTATTTGAGTGTCTACACTCAGTTTAACCAAATGTGATTTCAAACCTGCTGGACTATAATTGAAACATGTCGGGATTTTAAAGCATGTCATGGAAGGAGGAAATCACAAGTATGTTGGGCTTGTATTAAAATCCCTCATGGAGAACACTGTTTGTACAGTATTCACAAGTATTATGTGTTAGTATTTATGTGTAGAATAGGAAAGGATGTGACCCTTCTTTTCAACTTCCTGCTTCAGTGCACATTCTCATGTTACTGTGGACATGACCTGTACCGTACACGTGTCTGTACTGTACATGTACTGTACGTGCAGTTCTGTAGTTTCATAGTGTACATCTGTACATTTGTACATGTTCATGTAATGTACACATGTTTTTGTTATCCAGCAATCTCTCAATACCTTAATATATATATCTTAAAACTCACCTTTTCTTTTACTCAACAAACATTTTTGTAATTGTAAAGTGCATTCAAACATGTACAGGTGTACAGGCACCTGTATAGAAAATGCTCTACATACATGTACATTGTAAATGTTTACATTATTATGATTATCTGATTTTTAAAAGATAGTCAACATGTAACTCATTCGCGAATCATCAAACAGGTTATCAACCACACAAATTTAATGAATTATTTGACTTTATTTGTTTCCACAGTCAATTGTATACATCGTCATCTTACAAGAAAATACAAAGAACAAAACTACTACAGTAGTGATGATACTTGGGAATTACATGTACAGTAGCTTGGTGATGCAGTCATAAATATACCCAAAAGAGACCAAACTCTCGAGTATGATATTTAATACAACAAAATTTGCCTTAAAGGGCAAGTCCTCTCCAAAAATAACTTTCTTACAATAGAAGCACACACAAAAATTAGAAAACCAATCAAAAAAGGTATGAGCAAAATCAGATAACTACCGGTAATAAGATAGTTAAGAATTTTCGAAAAAGTATATGTGTACATGTAAAACCATGGAACAATGGAAATCACTACACAAATTGACAATTTGGTTCAGTTTGTGACATCATGTGCTAACTATTAGTATTTAGCACTATATTTTTATCCCATTGATTTCAAAGTTTTTATATGTCATCAAAGATTCGTAACTTTCTTATTAGTTATCAGATTTTGCACAAACTTTTTTTGATTGGTTTGTCTGATTTTTCTGCTTCTATTGAAAGTAAGTTATTTTTGGAGTGGACTTGCCCTTTACAGTAAGTAGCTTTAGTGTACACTGTACATGTATGCACAAATTTTAAGAGAAAGTCAGTCCACTCATTTTTAATGAACTAAAAGAAAAAAGGATTATCTTAACTAAGTTACATGTGCATGTACAGTATGCAACATACCAATCGTGTACCAATCGCTTGATAGTTTGAACTCATTGTCAAAAACTTTACATTGCATTCAAAGGGTTAACTGGTAAGGAGTACATGAAGAAAATAAATATAAACATACAAATCTCGCGCATGAAACCTAAGTTAAACTTGATTCTGTGCGAGCATGTTCATGTACATACAGTGTACTCATGCTTTGGCAGTCTACTCACAAGTTGAGAGTGAGAGTGTATTCAAGTTTGCAATATCTCCTTTAAAAGTAACATTTGAAAGTCATATTTTGAATAATACATACTGTATACCGGTAGCAACATGAAACCATTAATATACTGTTAGAGCAAAATAAATGTATTTCTGGGTGATTTGTGCACTTTAATGCTTCCTGGAGTACCTGGACACATGGTTTTTAATTTGACTTTGTTTAAATTATTGTTGGGTGCAGAAAGATCTGTACATTTATTTTCAGAAATTGATAATGGTAAACTTGTGGAAATGTATCTCTTAATATTTTCTCCAAAATTCTTAAAATGTTCACATGTACATTTACCAATTCAGAATGAAAGAAATAAAATAATAATCTTTTCACAGTTTTTACAAAACAAGATATTGACATCTTTTGTGGCGACTCCTAACGCATGTTTGGATTCACCATGTCAGCTATTTCATCTGAGTGAATAGCAAAGAACCCAGTCCTAAGAAGCTTCAGTTCACGACCGATATCTGAGAGCATCTTATTCTGTGTGTCTAAAGCCTGTAAATAACGGTTCTCAAATTCACTCATACCCTCTGGCAAGTTCTCTGCTACAAGTGGCACGTTGCTTGTACGGCTCTTCTTGGAGGAATGCTGTGGGGCATCGTGAGGAGTCTTCATCGGGCGCTTGTGCGATGTCCCGGGATTGGAGCTTGGCATCCCTTCGTAGGGGACGGACGCTTCCGTGTACGTCGCATGAGGGGTGGACCCATTTTGTATGACGTGAAGAGGGATATAGTGGGAACCAACACCTGGAGATGAAGCTGATCCTTGTGGAAGATGAAACTGTGGATGCTGTACTAGAGAAGGAAGCGAGGAGATGGTAGATAGTAGTCCTTGGTTTGCTACCGAAGCATGTACATTAGTGGCAACAGGAGACTGGACATGGCCATGAGTAGTGCTTGAAGGGCCAGATGATCGAGGAGTGACATGCTTCAGCTGGGGAGCGTGGGCCCTGTCAGTTGGTATCATTACAACATCCTGAAGGCCTACTGGTTCATGTTGCCTTAAGGCGGAAGCTGAAGGCGGTGCCTGTATGGTTACCATAGATCGTCGCCCTTGTGGCTTTGGAACCCTGGGCAGTGGGGGCGGTGGCGGAGTTGGAGATGGTGGATCACTGTTAGTATTGCCAGTACATCTAGCTTGAGATGACATACTCATCACCGATGTTATCTGAAGGGAGTCTTCTTCTTCCTGATCCCCAGGCTCTTCCTTCATGTCCGCATCAATGACCTCTATATACTGAGGGCTGTCGTCATCTTCATCCTCCCCTTCAGGTATGTGGACCAGCCTGTCTTGTTCATCCAAGGAGTACTCCATTAACTTAGGCAGAGGGAAATTTGGTGGATCCTCATTAAGATAAATCCTGTTGTACTCCTCAAACATCTTGAAGACGTTGTTGGATCCGCGGAGCTTCATCTTATTGCGATCGCAATTTGGATGCACCTTCATCCATTCTCGGTAATCCCGGCCCAAGTTCTTGATGAAGTTCTCCACTATCCTAGGTGTGGCTCCTATCTTCTCTGCCAATATGATGTAAACATCTATGAGTTTAGCATAGGTCTTGTACTTGTTGTGCCGTGTGATGAGTTCGTTGAGGATGAACTCCATTCTCTCTGGGGTCCAAGGAAAACGGGTGCCTTTAAAAGCATGGTTTATGTCGCGTGGTTGACTCATGGAGATCTACAGTTGAAGGATGAGAGTAAGGAACAAAAAGTGTTTAGATGATACCCTGATAACAATGGCAGATATATACTGTATATCAAGGATATGTTTGTATATATGATTATGTCAACATGATCTATTGTATTGTACATTTCCTATTTTTATATCGTTGAATATTAAATTAATTGAATTGATAGTTTGAACATATTTGTGGCTTACACCCAGTAAATACAGTGTACATGTACATGTAAGATCGATTGATCGCGATCTGTAATTGAAAAAATTGATCTGTAATTTTTCAATTACAGATTGATCGATCGATTCAAATGTTGATAAGAATTTGAGGTATTCTATGGCTGGTCCATGATCTTGGGTCGAATGGTGAGGTATCAATTGACCGTGCTTGTCAAAACCATGCAGTCTTGAGACTAAAGTTGATATCCAGAACTCAACCCTCCTCACTGTTTCTCATTCTTTGTTTTCATTGTTGGACAAGAATGTCTATCAGATTCATATATTCATTGACATATTTTGAATGGCTACTTGCTCTATCTTAATCTGTTAAATGAATACATGCCCATCCAAGCATGAAAGTTCAAATTTTGATCTTAATTGACGTTTTTAGAGTATTGATTTTTGATAAATTTGATGTACATGTATATTTTATTGACAGTCACAGAACAGAGTGTAGTGAAGAACCGTTCTGCGGTGTACAGTATGCAGGGACATATGGGTACATGTACTACTGGTATTATTCCCACAAGTTTAATACATGAGTATGTACATGTATGTTTTAGAGTTACTACTGTATACGGTATTCAAATTTGAAATACAGAAGTAATATTTGAAGCGTACATTTGAATACAGTACAGTGCCACTGTGCCAGTGGAACCTCGTTATAATAACAAGGTCCTTGGGAACATAGAAATTACCTTGTAGATACCTGTACCTCATCATATATCAAGGCTCTTTACAATGAGGTTCCACTGTATTTGAGTGGTTGAGAGCTCTTCATGTGACCAGATATATTTCAACTATTTTAAGGTTGCTCTGAAAAAGTACTATTTTGGAGTACTATTTGGAAGCAGAAGTTTGGAAAATTCAAAAATTGGTTGGGATAGTTTACTGTTAGAGGGTGTTGCACAGTGACGCCTTGAAAGAAAAGCATAAATATCTTTGTGGTTTCAGAATTTTTTCCGGATTTGTTTTCATGTGAGAGGATTAGTACAGTTGAAGGAATATCATACATGTACATGTACAGTGTACAGTATGTAAAATTTCAGCCTACTTCCCTTTTTTCGACATTATACCGGTAGACAACAGAGAAAAATGAGATATACATGTAACTTTCCTTTGATGACACTTTCAGAGTAATCATACTGTCAGAAACTGTCCAATATGAGGTTATTCAAGTATTTCAACTAAACTGTAATTTCAACTATTCAACTAATATTAACCATTCAACTGATTTCATTTTACTCTTTCAATGTAAAATGGGAAAGCTTGTGATAAACATGTAGCCTGCATTACTTAGGCTGCTTAATTTACTCTAGAAGACATCCAGCCACGAATCGTAGACTGATGTACATGTACTGTATGTGTTGCTTACACTACAGCCTTATACATGTAGCCTCCAGACATCAACATTCAATGGTTCTGCATGCATGTACATTCATGTGTTCAGCAGCAACCCCTAATTCTATGTTAATATAAAACTCTTTATATTACCTGTATATCTTGATGGGTAGCTGGAAATGAAGCAAGAGTAGAATATGGATACAATATGCGAGCACAAGTGCTTTGAGCAGCTTCTCTCTAACAGCGATAGGCAAATATATAATAAGGTTGTTATAGGTTGGTAGGTCTGCTCAATGGCTGCTAAATTGTATTGAATGCATAATGCCTTGTGAAGGGGATCTGTGTGTGTGTGGTTGTGTGTGTGTGTTGCGTGTGTGTACACACTTCCCCCCATTCAATGCCTGCTTTTGTAAGTTGAATGGGGAAAGTAGCACACAAAGCCCTCGCTCTGTGCATAATGCGCTCACACTGAGTGTGAAAAAAAGAGGCTAACACACACCGTACTATATTGATTTACGTGATGGAAGCTCTGTCATATACACTGAAGTGCACCAATGTATACAAAAATATATGCTCTTGCTCATGCATTGTGAGCACTGTACAGTCAGATATTCAAGACAGTTCGTCTTTTGAATGAATATTTCTTTTGTTGTTGCTGTTCTTTTTTTATACTCCTCAATCTGATTTCATACATGCAATCATGGTGTTATATATACAACTGTATATATGTACATGTACATAATTATATAGAATGAATTTACAAATGAATTTATCTGTCTCTGTCCCTCCCTCCATCTTTTTTAATTCTCTCTTCTTCCCTCTCTGTCTGTCTCTCTCTCTCTTTCCCTGTCTCTCTCTCTCTCTCTCTCTCTCTCTCTCTCCCTCTCCCTCTCTGTCTGTCTGTCTCTCTCTCTCTCCCTCTCTCTCTCTCCCTCTCTGTTTGTCTGTCTGTTTATCTTTATCTCTTTCTCTCTCTCTCTCTCTATATCTCTTTCCCTCTGTCTGTCTCTCTGTCTATATATCTCTCTGACTCCCTATGTCTCTCTCTCTCTCTGACTCTCTATGTCTCTCTCTGTGCACAGGATAAGACGTTGTACAAGGTGAGATGGAAAGGGTACGGGGTTGATGACGACACCTGGGAACCCAAAGACAACCTGCTCACCTGTGAGGATCTCATAGATGAGTATGTCGCCAAGGAAGAAAAGAAAAAGGCCACAAAGGTAACTCAAGCAACCTCATAACTCAAAAAGAAAGAGTTCTGGTATACATTTAGGTGGAAAATAGTTTGCCGGCCAGCCTACTCCATTTGGAACAGTATGATACAGTCGAACCTGCTTTAGTTTAGCGACCATCTGTATGGAAATTATAATAATAATATTCCGCTTTTTCAAATGTCTCTATGCGCGTTACAGATATACTAGTATTACCCTGGTCATTGGATTCAATACTAGATCACCTGTCTATATAGACAACATTTTCTGTTTCCCTTGAACATAGTTTCTTATTGAAACATGTAGTATTAAAATGAACCTGTACTTAAAGACCACTTGTCTGTAACCCTTACATAGTTTCTTATTGAAACATGTAGTAAATGTACCTGAAGATAAAGACCACCTGCCTACAAAGACCACTGTTCATGTCTCTCTTGAGCAGTCCTTATATACAGGTTTCACTATAGAAGAAATGTTTCCTGAAGTAGAGAGCTCCTCAAATGTCCTCATTGTCCAAATGTGATGAGTAAAAACTGAAAAGTTTGGACCAAGCTTTCAGTTTCATGCCATATCAAGTACATGTAGTTGACGTATGACTTGTTATTTCTATTTCTTTATTGGTACACGTATTTTAAAACACAAAATCATTGTTTTCAGTGTGTACTGTGTAGGTGATCAAGATTTATTCTCTTCAAATCTTATGTTGATTTTTCAGAAATCTGGGAAAGGTCAGCCAGCTGAGAAAGAGACCAAGGCCCCTGCTAAGGAGCGGCACGCTCCGAAGAGAAGCTCAGGTCAACCTAAGAAAAAGAAGAAACGGAAACGGTCTTTATACGAGCGGGAAGTTCCGGCTGACGAGGAGAGGAGAGACAGAAAGAAAAGTCACAGTACAGATGAGGAAGGGGATGGGAAGGAAGATAAAGATGGCAATGAGGAGGGGGATGGGGATAAGGGTGATGGGGAAGAGGGGATGGATGTGGATAGAGAGGGGGGAGGGGTGAAGGAGGGAGGGGAAAAAGAGGCAAAAGTAGACATGACAACAGGAATAAAGCAGGAGCAACGGGAAAGTGCCATATTGGAAGCTCCGGGAAAGTCGAGCGAAAGTAGAATGGACAGTCGAATTAAGGGAGGGAATGAGAAAGGAAAAGATAAGGATGTCAATGAAAAACAGGGAGAGGAGGGGAAGGGGGAAGAGGGAAAGGGAAAGGGGGAGGAGAAAGGGGAGGAGGGAATGGGGGAAGAGGGAAAGTTGAAGGAGGAGGAGGGGGAGGATGGGAAGAGGGAGGAGGGGAAGCAGGATAAGGGGAAGGGGGAAGAGGGAAATTTGGAGGAAGGGAAAGGGGAGGAGGAGGCAGGGCAGAGGATGGATGTAGACGAAGTGGATGAGGAAGCACTGCTGAAGGATCCATTCTGGGACCAGCTGGAGAAAGGACTCATAGAAGTTTCATTTGAAACCGACATGTATTCAAAGGTGAGCACCCCTTTCATGTAAATAATCTTCAAGGGGGGGGGGGGGGGGAGATAATGTTGAAAATTTACCCCCCCCCCCCCCCCCCCAGTCAGAATATGGTTCAAGATCATGTACAGTTTTGGTAAGCCCGTATTGGGAGATCAATTAAAACTATGTCAACGCATACTACACATTGTGTAAAACCTAGATGTATGTATGAGGGTTGTGTGTTTGCGACAATGCAAGTGCTGACCCTGTTGAGCAGGGAGCCGTCAAGGTGGAAGGGCCCCAGTATTGTATAGCTGTGATCAAGTTTTCTTTTCAGTTATTCACACTAAAATACAGATGAAATCATGGATGGACTATCAAATAATCTTGCACATGTAGCTTTTTTATACAACTACAAGGAGAACATTGTGAGACTATATTAAATGTGTTTTGTGCCGATTTTTTTTTAGCTTTCAAAACTGTACGTGAACTTTAATTCTTTGATATGAACAGGTGAAAAACAGGAGAGCCGTGTTGGATGCTAAGCGGGAGGAGAAAGAGAGCAAGCAGAAGGAAGATGAACGTAGCAAGAAGAAGAAGAAAAAGAAAGAACATAAAAAGGAGAAGAAAGCTAAGAAGGAGAAGAGGAAAAAAGACAAGCACAAGAAGACTAAAAGGATGGTAGATCTAGAAGTGAGTTGTTCTGCGTTGTGACGTTCTCGCTAGTTAACCCAAGGATTTCCTTAGTTTACTAATAGGAGAAAATATGACTTACAAGTGTTATACTAGTAGTAGTAGAAGCAGTTGTAGTAGGAGTAGTATTAAAAGCAGAAGTACTGGTAGCCGTAGTAGTAGTAGTAGAAGTAGGAGTAGTAGAAGTAGAAGTAGAAGTAGTAGTACTAGTAGTAGTAGTAGTAGTAGTAGTAGTAGTAGTTGTAGTAGTTGTAGTAGTTGTAGTAGTTGTAGTAGTAGTAGTAGTAGAAGTAGTAGTAGTAGTAGTTGTAGTAGTTGTAGTAGTAGTAGTAGTAGTAGTATTAGTAGTAGTAGTAGTAGTAGAAGTAGTAGTAGTAGTAGTAGTAGTAGTAGTAGTAGTAGTAGTAGTAGTAGTAGTAGTAGTTGTAGTAGTAGTAGTAGTAATAGTAATAGAAGTAGTTGTACATTTATTGGATAATTTGTTTACTTTAAGCACAAGGCTCATTCGCTCAGTGTCTATAAATACTAGTAATTGAAGTTGATGATGCTCTGAAAACATTAATTTCATGACAAACTACAAAGTGCCCTGCAAGTTACTCTCTAATGACCGTTTCTTTGAATTCCTCTTGATTTCCTCCCCAAAGATGCTCGGCTCGTTAGAAAGTGCCACAAAGCGCACACTGATGATGAGCCCGTCTGCCCTAGACACCTCGGCCAACTCGGCCAACATGTACCGGTCATCAGTGCCCTCTGAGCAGATACTGACCATAGCTCAGCTGGAAGAGAAGTCCAAAGAGGAGAGGTCAGCCTCCGTCTCTGGTGGCACAACCCCTTGCAAGCTGGAATCCATGGACTCCAGCTCCTCGTCCAGTTCCAGCACCATATCTCAAGAGGTGATGCCTGTTTTATGTCATGTTTTCTTTTTTTCCTTCTTTTTATTTATTTATTGCAACCTGGGGGTGTTTTACAAAGATCTACAGAATTTACATTTTTTGATAATTCATTATTGAATGAAAAAAAATCTATGGATTCTGAGAGTTTACTTTGGATCATGCCCGTAGTTTTACCATTACACATGTGGTACACTGAGTAGTTTCCTACTTGCAGTAGAGCTATTAGGATGTAGAAGAAAGACGATAATCTGGATTTACCAAATTTGACCCAGGTTAAGTAGATGGGTACCGGTAGGATGTAATTCCTTGTATGCTTTGGCATCTTAATCAGGGCAGTTTGGCTAGAGCCGGGGTAATAATCCAAAGCTCTTCCGAAAATCATAGAGATATATTATTAAATAAATGTGTAATGTAAAAACTAATTCTTACTTGATAACGCAGAACAATATTTTTTGTATTACTATAATACTATTGTTCTCTGCAGATGACTATTACGCCAGACTCACCTTCACCGGACAAACCTGCTGATCCACATTCTGCATTCTTTGGAGACCTTTGTAAAACAGAGACCAAAAGAGAGATCCTGGACCTCCAGGAGGAGACCAGCGAGCTGCATGACTTTGCCAACATCCTGCCCACCCCAGAGGTAGACGAAGCCGATCGGCAGATCTGTGATGCTGTCCTGACTCCCTTGAGTCCATGTGATGTTGATAGGGGCTTATCAGGTTTACCCAGTGATGCTAGTTTGCAGGATGGTGCTGTCCTGAATAGATTAGGAGAAAGTGACTCTAAAAACTCCTTGCAGATATTTTCTAAAACAAGTCCGCTCCTGGACGATGAGACTATGAGCAATCTACCCACACCTCCGGAAGTGGACAATCGGTCAATGTTCACTATGTTACAAAGTGGTAATGGAACTAAAAGTGCTCTTGCACAACAGCAGGAATCTACAGTAGGACAGTCTGCTCAAAATAATGTATATAATATGTATCAAAGTGAACAGTGTAAAGTTGATTATAGAGTGCAAGAAGTGAACTTGTTTGGAAATTTAAAGCCAGCTACGGGAAATGTGCAAATGGATGTGAACAGTGCAAAGAAAGGTGGTACAGGAGAAGTAGGAGGTACAGCAGGGAGTGGCATGCAAGGAAACGTTGTGGAACCTGCGCCATCAAACCAATTTCAGCCTCCCACGCCCCCTGCATCGCTTTTCTCCTCCTTTTCTTCAGCTGTTCCGAAACCCTCCCCTCTCATGCCCCTGAGTGAGGGAACCCCAAATAGAACTCCAGATCTGAAATCTCCTCTGAACTCCCCACTTACGCCGCACACCCCCAGCACCAGCTTCACACCCCAGGCCACACCCCAGGCCACACCCCAGGCTACACCTCAGGGTATCCCCAGTCCTAAATCCTACCTGGCAAGCCAGAAGAGCCCTCCATTCCCCAACACCAGCCCAAGCGGTGGCAGGAATGCCTTTGAAAAGATCCAGACATTTCAGCTGACCTCTGCCCATGGAAGAAACAGTGCCAAAGTACAAAGCCTCAAGGATAAGCTCAGTAAATATGTATCACCGACATCAAGAAAAGAGGATAGCTTATCCAGTGAGAAAGGCATTGGTGATATCGGTAATGACCAGCAGCAGCAGCAGCAGCTGCAGAGGTTGCAGACAGGACAGTTGTCGGAGCTACGTGTGGACACCAGTCTTGCCAACACCTTCAAGTCCTCAGAGATTGCCGGTCAACCCCAACCTCTGTCTCAGATAGAGAGACAGATCCAGAGGATAGAGATGAGGGAAGGTGATGGGCCTCTGGAGAAAGGGCAGGAGTTGGGCCATCCTGTGCCTAGCTCGTTGGCTTTGAATCAGGACAGCGGGATACCAGAACCTCAAAAACAGGACTCCATTGAAGGTATGTCAATGCTATGGCTGTAAGAGTATGAGAGATTACTCTGAGCTGGAAACATATTGGGAACATTTATGACTTATTTGTGTTTGTTAGAAGTCACACAGTGGGGAATCATATTTTCAAATTTATCAGAACATGAGAGTGAGACACAACAGGGTACTTTATTCATTCATTTAGATGTCAAATTTGGCAAATTTTTATTTTTGCCTTTGATTTACTAATCTAAAGTGTTGAAATCTCTTTTAGTATTATTGGCACATTGAATCTATTTTGATGTTCTTCAAGATGTGCATATCCACTTGAAATCTTAATTGTCTATTTCCTTCATCCATGTAAATTTCAATGTACAGTGGGCCTTTAATAAAAGATAACATCATTTTTAGAACACCTATCCCTGATTTTTATGCTTTCCTTAAATGTTAAAATTTCTGTAATGTTTGATATGCATTTGACTGAATACATATTCATTTCCTTTCATCGCCACCATCAGGCCTCATTGGAAATCAGAATGGCGTACCCTCCTCTATTACTCCACAGGGGATGGGATCATTGGCAACATTTGGTAAGAAAAGATTCCCTGATGTTGTTGGACCTAAAGCATTCAAGATCCCAACAGAAAATGTTGTAACCTTCCTGTGTCGTTTCATTATTCATTTCTGAAATTATAAAGTCATTCCTAAGCACCACAAATTTAGTTAACTCTGCATAAGGGTCATTCCATAAAGTTCATCCAAAAAATATGATGGTGTCCATGTAACGTACATGTAGGTATGAGATCTTTTACTACACATGGATATTATCTGTTGGAGATTTTTATACAATGAGTATACTGTACATGCATATAGTAATACCCTGCCAGAATCATTCCTGTTGCAGTTGCTTTTCTTCAAAATCTTTGATTAACTCACATTTCTCTTTCTACCAACGTTACATGGATGGACACCATGTTCATATAACATTACATAAACTTTGGGGTCCATCATATTGATTCTCCATGAAGCTTGAGTACTTCTAAAGATAGTTGGCTACGCTTTTTATGCAAAACTCATTTTGAGCAAACATTGTTACAGTTGATAGGAGACATAGCTTCTCACTTTTGGCATGTCACAAAAATGGCCCCAACTTTCTGGACAGACCCATAACTCAAATTCGCACATATCAAATTTTCCCCAAGTCGAATGAATTTTTGTAACAATGTAGTTCCGGTATTCATTAGATAATGCCAAATTCGCTGTGTACACAAGTGTTCAGAAATATGAGGGATATATTCATGATGTAGACAGTGTCCTCACTTGACATTGCCCCACCCTTCTCATCCAACTTGTCATTTCCAGAGGGTCTCCGTCAGGCCATCAAGACAGGCAACACCCAGGCAGTGGTGCACATGCTGCAGCAGACCGGTCCTAGAGCGGTGGAGGAGGTGGATAACATGGGCACCACACCGCTCATGCTAGCCTGTTCACTCAACCAGGATGATATCGTCAAAGCACTCATCCTCAACGGGGCCATCGTCAACAAGACACACAAGAACGGCATGACGCCTCTCATGATGGCTGCAGAAAAGGTAGCACTCTTTCATTGTTTGAAAGAGGAAAATATATACCATATTCTGTTTTATAGTCCCCTTCAAAATGATTTTTATTGAATCATTATTTCATCTGCTCCTTTTTGTTAAATTTGTCTATTGTATTCTTTTTTTTTTTTTTTTTTTTTTGGGGGGGCGTAATCCTATCATTCATTTTCCTTCAAGTAGTCGTTAATATATCTTTTAAATGTCAGTCATTGATTCATTCAAGGGTTTTATATCTGACAGCCTGCATATAAAGGCCACTTGCCCATCAAGACAACCCTTTTCATTCCCTTGAATAGTCTTCATGAACCAAAGTTGTTTTAATATTTTAGTATTTTAGCTATGCCGAAAGCAGAGTAAAATACTCACATTTCTGACATAGGTACTGAATTGAATACCAGCCCTGGCTATTCTAAAAACAGTGCCTTATCCAATGGCACATCCGCTCTTACGTAGAGGTGTTGTGGTCTAGTGGATAAGTCATTGGACTCTTGATCACAGGGTCCGCGGTTCGAGTCCCGCCATGGCACTAATGT